AAACATGTGGAGGAGGGGCAATTGGAGACGTAATTCGTGGGAGTAGCAGCGCCTCGCGCTGTGTTCCCATTGCAGGACAGCGCTTTGCGCGCCATGGCAGTACAGCACTTTGCGCTAAACGTAGCACGTGCCGGATGCATTACAAGCAACAGAAAGCTGAAGAAGGGATGCGGCATGGGCAACGGACAGCGCCATGCACTCTTCGCTGCGCGGCGCTCCCACACGCCGCGTCATTCCGCTGGCACTCCCAGAAGCCCATCGCATCCCCCCAGGGGACGGCGAGGTCTCGTGGTGATGCGCGAAGGACGTACTTCCGCTGGGCCTCCCAGAAGCCCACGAAGGTGGCGACAGTTTCGCAGATCGCAGACCCCCATGGGACAGCGAGGTCTCGTGGTGATCCGCGTGCGACGTACCTCCGCTGACCCTCCCACGAGCCCACGAAAGTGGAAACAATTTCGCAGATCGCAGCGCCCCAGGGACGGCGAGGTCTAGTGGTGATCTGCGTAGGACGTACCTCCGCTGACCCTCCCACGAGCCCACGAAAGTGGCGACAATTTCGCAGATCGCAGCGCCCCATGGGACGGCGAGGTCTCGTGGTGATCCACGTAGGACGTACCTCGGCCGGGCCTCCCAGAAGCCCACGAAAGTGGCGACAGTTTCGCAGATCGCAGCCCCCCAGGGGACGGCGAGGTCTCGTGGTGACCCGTGACCCGCGTAGGACGTACCTCCGCTGGGCCTCCCAGGAGCCCATGAAAGTGGCGACAATTTCGCAGATCGCAGCCCTTCAGGGGACGGCGAGTTCTCGTGGTGATCTGCGTAGGACGTACCTCCGCTGGCACTCCCAGACGCCCACGAAAATGGCGACAATTTCGCAGATCGCAGCCCCCCCGGGGACGGCGAGGTCTCGTGGTGATGTGCGTATGATGTGCCCCCGCTGGCCTTCCCACGAGCCCACGAAAGTGGCGACAACTTCGCAGATCGCAGCCCCCCAGGGGACGGCGAGGTCTCGTGGTGATCTGCGTAGGACGTGCTTCCGCTGACCCTCCCAGAGGCCCACGAAAGTGGCGACAACTTCGCAGATCGCAGCCCCCCAGAGGACGGCGAGGTCTCGTGTTGATCCGCGTAGGACGTACCTCCGCCGGCCCTCCCATTCGCGAGCGAAAGTGACCACAATTTCGCAGAATGCAGCCCCCCAGGGGACGGCGAGGTCTCGTGGTGATCTGCGTATGGCGTGCCCCCGCTGGGCCTCCCAGGAGCCCACGAACGTGGTGACAGTTTATCAAATCGCAGCCCCGCAATGGGGGCGACGAGGAGGAGGAGAAAGGAGGGAGGAACGAGGAGGGGGGAGGAGTGAGTGAGTGAGTGAGTGAACGAGTAAGTGAGTGAGTGAACGAGTGAGTGAGTGAGTGGGTGATTGAGTGATCGATGGGGACCACGGTGCTTTATGCAAAACGAGTATCCCACACAGAAGGGTTGGGAAAAAGCGCAGACACAATTCATCGACGATGTCCCAGGAAATATATGTCAATATTGGTAGTGTGTGTGTGGGGGGGGAGACGAAATTCCAAACTATCTTGGCGAAGGGCCCAACCATCTGGAATTGGGGGTACCGCATTATGGATACAGCTTTCGGTGGAGCTCCGTACGGGGCCACGAAACGTGTGACGGGTGTGCCGAAATGGGGCGGCGCCGCCGTGCGAACCCCGCATTGCGCCTGCTGTGGAGCTCCCGATGGAGCCACGAAACGTGTAAGGGGTGTGCCGAAATGGAGCGGGGCCGCCCTGCGAACCCTGCCGCTGAGGCCTTCAGTGGAACTCCGTAAGGGGCCCCGAAACGTGTGAGGTGTGTGCCGGAAATGGGGCGGGGCCGCCATGCGAACCCTGCCACTGAGGCCTTTGGTGGAGCTCCCTTTGGGGTCACGAAACGAATGAGGGGTGCGCCGAAATGGAGCGGGGCCGCCATGCGAACCCTGCCACTTGGGCCCTCGGTGGAACTCTCGATGGGGCCCCGAAACGTATGAGGGGTGCGCCGAAATGGGGCGGGGGCGCCATGCGAACCCTGCCACTGGGGCCTTCGGTGGAGCTCCCGATGGGACCACGAAACGTGTGAGCGGTGTGCCGAAATGGGGCGGGGCCGCCATGCGAACCCTGCCACTGTGGCCTTCGGTGGAGCTCCCGATGGGGCCACGAAACGTGTGAGGGGTGTGCCGAAATGGGGCGGGGCCGCCATGCGAACCCTGCCACTGGGGCCTTCGGTGGAGCTCCGCTATGGTGCCACGAAACGTGTGAGGGGTGTGCCGAAATGGGGCGGGGCCGCCATGCGAACCCTGCCACTGTGGCCTTCGGTGGAGCTACCTATGGTGCCACGAAGCGTGTGAGGGGTATGTCGGAATGGGGTTGGGCCGCCATGCGAACCCTGCCACTGGGGCCTTCGTGGAGCTCCCTATGGTACCACGAAGCGTGTGAGGGGTGTGCCGAAATGGGGTTGGGCCGCCGTGCGAACCCTACCACTGGGGCTTTCGGTGGAGCTTCCTTTGGGGCCTACGAAACGTGTGAGGGGTGCGCTGACATGGGGCGGGGCCGCCCTGCGAACCCTGCCACTGGGGCCTTCAGTGGAACTCCGTATGGGGCCCCGAAACGTGTGAGGGGTGTGCCGAAATGGGGCGGGGCCGCCATGCGAACCCTGCCACTGTGGCCTTCGGTGGAGCTCCGCTATGGTGCCACGAAACGGGTGAGGGGTGTGCCGAAATGGGGCGGGGGCGCCGTGCGAACCCTGCCATTGGGGCCTTCTTTGGAGCTACCTATGGTGCCACGAAGCGTGTGAGGGGTATGTCGGAATGGGGTTGGGCCGCCATGCGAACCCTGCCACTGGGGCCTTCGGTGAGACATGTTGCACTTGGCGCCAGGGAAGAGGGAGGAGGGAGGAGGGGCAGGAGGAGGGAGGAGGAGGAGGAGGAGGAGAAGGAGAGGAGGGGGAGAGGTGGGACGCGGGGCGCTGTTTCTTCAAGACGAGGAGCCAACACCACAGGATGGTCGGGAAAATCATCACAAAGGATGGGGCAACGGAGGGGGAGGAGGCTGAGGAGAAGGCGGCGGCGGAGGAGGCTCAGGAAGAAGAGGAGGAGGAGGAGGAGGAGGAGGAGGGAAGAGGAAGGTAGGGGGGCGAGAGGGAGGTGAGGGAGGAGGAGGATGCGAGGATGAGGAGGAGGCGGGGAAGAGGGAGGCGGTAGGAGGAAGAAGGAGGGAGGAGGGAGGATGAGGATGAGGAGGAGGAGGTTGAGGAGGAGACGGAGGCCCCTTGCGAGACGCCCGTGCCCGCGAGGAGCTGCTGCTGGCTCCCGCGACTGGGGCCCGCCGAGGGGCCCACCCAGGGCCTCCGCGGGAGCCTCCGAGAGGGCCGCCGCGAGGGCCGCCGAGGGCCTTCGTGAGCCGCCGAGGGGCCTGGAGGTCCGACTGCTCCGCCTCCTCGCCCTCCTCCTCTCGTCCCCTCCTCCATCCTCCTGCCCCTCCTCTCTGCCCCTCCTCCCCTCCCTTCCTCCTCCGTCCTCCTCCTCCTACCTCCTCGGCCTCCTCCTCCTCCTCCTGCTCCTTCCTCCTCCTCCTGCTCCTCCTCCTCCTCCTCCTCCTCCTCCTTCCTCCTCCTTGGTCCTCCTCGTCTCCTCGTCCTCCTCGTCATCCTCTCCCATCCTCCTCCTCGCCTCGTCCTCCTCCTCTTCTCCTCTTTCCTCCTCGTCCTCCTCCTCCTCCTTCTGCTCCTCCTCCTCCGCGTTCTCCTCCTCCTCCTCGTCCTCGTCCTCCTCCTGCTCCTCCTCCTCCTCCTCCTCCTCCTTCTCCCCTTCCTCCTTCTCCTCCTCCTCCTCCTCCTCCTCCTCCAATTTAGCAACGTAAAAAGAGGTGGCGGCTTAAGCGTACGTCGCTCCGAACAAGATTGGAGCGGGCGGTTTGGGGGCGTTTTCGGCCTCCGGGGGCCCTCGCCAGGCTTTGGCAGCATCAGTCGAAGAAGAAGAAACGTGCCATAAACATAAGCTTTTGGCGCTTCGCGTTGGATTTCTTGGATCCGCGCTGGAACCTCCCTGGTTTTGGATCCGCGCTGGAACCTCGCTGGTCTTGGATCCGCGCTGGACCCCCCATGGCGGCGCCTCCGGCGCCGCCCCTGGCGCGCTCCGCGTGCCAGGGAAAGGGGGTCCAGCGCAGACCCAAGAAATCCGCGCGGAGCGCCGAGAGTTTATGTTTTATACAGTTTTTCCTTTACTAGACGCTCCGAACAAATTTGGAGCGGGCGGCTTTGGGCTGTTTTAGGCCTCTGGGGGCCCTCGCTGGGCTTCGGCAGCATTAAAAATAAATATTTGGCACGACAGAAACATTTTCCGTCGGCGGCGGGGCAGAATGGCTGCACCAACTGGGGGCGCCGAAAAGCGAGTTGGCCAGCACGCAGGAGGAGGAAGAGGACGGACAGTGCAGCCGCGGAGATAGGAGGGGGGGAGCACAAAAAAATAGCCCCACAGGGAAGTGGTCCAGAGCAGAGAGCAGGAGCAGGAGGAAGGAGGAGGAGGAGGAGGAGGAGGAGGAGGAGGAGGAGGAGCAGGAGGAGGACGAGGGACGAGATGAGGGAGGAGGAGGAGACGCGGAGATGAGAGGAGAGGAGGAGGAGGAGGAGGTTGAGGAGGAAGATGGAGAGGAGGACGAGGAGGACGAGGAGGACAAGGAGGAGGATGAGGAGGAGCAGGAGGGGAGGAGGAGGAAGAGGAGGAGGAGGAGGAGGAGGAGGAGTGAGGAGGAAATAGGGGAGGAGAGGAGAGCAGGAGCAGACAGGAGCAGGAGGAGGAGAAGGAGGAGGAGGAGAGGAGGAGGATGAGGAGGAGGGGGAGAGGAGGAGGAGGAGGAGGAGGAGGAACAGCCCACGCATCGACACAACCTGGAGCAGCCGGACGTCTGGGCACTCCGCGCTCCCCCGAGGGCCGCAGAGAGGGTTCGCCGAGAGGGCACCCGCGCGCCGCCGAGGTTCCTGCCGGTCCCCACGTCCAGGGCGCCCGTCGCGTGCCTGGCGCCAGAGGGCGAGGACCAGCCACTCCTCTGCTTCGTGCTCCTCCTCCTCCTCTT